AATGAAGTCATATGTTTCATAATATCCTTTATGATATTCACTTGTCCTTTTTTTCCATTTAAATCCTGGAACTGGTCCCTTCCTGGCTCAGTATACTTTAGTTCCTACTTTGGTTCCCATGTTATTTCTCTGTCAGTTATTAATTTCTTTATTCAAGGATAATTTCTTATGAACCTGAAGACTTCATACCTGAACTGTAAAGTAATAGACCCACAGGCAATCTCTACAAATAACCCACAAGAGGAATGAAATTATTCATAAGTATAAGGACAGGAGGCATAACAGTGGGATGCAGACTGGGGGAAGGGTCGTTGGTAGTGGTCAGTTAGGGCAGTACTGGCAGAAATATGAACTGGTGATATACACCCCCACCCCAGTAGCTAATTTACAACTGGCATCCATGCTCTCTGAGTCTTGTCACATTACAGTATGACAGATGAGAAGTTAAGAGGTTTTTGTGTGCGTGTTTGCTTGAAGTGGTGACAGAAATACAACATTTCTGAGGCTCCCTTGGCCCTGTTCCAGGTGCATGTGTAGACACACCTGTGCTCTACAGAAAGCTGGAGAGGGAATCATGAGACATCACATTTTTGGGGGTCAGCAATGGACTCATTGCATAATATTGAATGCTTTCTTTGTGGTCTCTCTGTAGGGGATAAAAAAATATGCTGAAGGCTAACACTTGTATTTTCAGCACCAGATTCTATATAAAAGCAAACCTGTCCGAGAAGATGGACAATGTTCTGGTAGTTTGGGAATGATAGTTTTGGAAAATTTCCAAATTTGATGATTTCTTCCTCTGCATGAAAATTTTGGAATTTCCATGTACTTTATAAACTACTGAGCTGGTTTTTTAAGCTTGCTTTTTTGTGTGTATTCTAAGTGAGTAGCACATGACATCCTTTTTATGTCTTGTAAATAGGTTATATGTATGAAAAGAAACTAACATTTCTAGTGAACATAGATGCATAAGAGTAGTTTGCATAAAGACATGCTTGATTTACATATTTTTAAAAATTTGTACCATTTAATTGTCATAATTTCAGGCATCATTTCCTTTTTGTTCACAAACCATTTCTTGTTCTCTTGTTTAGGACAGAAGAATTAGGTGGCGATGTGTGGCTCTACCTGCTCTAGTTATTCTATCCGTTCCTTCTGTACTTGGATAGGAGAAAGATCCTATAAGAGAGATTAGATCAAGATGGAATGCACGCTTCGTATGCCAGCATTCCAGAACTATTCTGAAGTGACAGGAGAGATGTGTGTGCATTTTCTATAGTAACCTGGAGAATGAGAAAACTTGATCTCAGTGGGTGAGAAATTATAAGAAAAATTCCTGAAAGGCAAATGAGAAACAAAGGTGAAAACCATAGCTCCCAAAATGGGCAAAAGAACTATGAAAGACTGGTAGTGATGGACCAAGTATCCAAGCTTAGATATATGTTTGCATATATGCATGTCAGAAGAAGCTCTGGTTAATTGTCAGGGTGGTGTTTATAGAGATTATGAGATATCCAGTGTCTTCCAGTACTGTAAATTCTTTTCATAGTTGCATTAGCCAACATTTGCTTTAAGAACGTTTACTTGATGAACTTACATCAAGGATGCGCTTACAGTAAATATAAACCTTTTGTATTCATAATGATATTTTTAGTATTCCATTGGATCCAATTTTCTATACAGTTTCTCAGGATTTTTATTGGGGTAGTAGAATGGCTCTTGGGCCAAACATATGTATTCACTCCTCTTGGGGGCCAGAAAAGGGAGGTGGTAGCATGCCTGGCTGATCCTATTGAGAACCTCAAGAACGCTAGAAAACCTGGCCCGGGAATCAGACATCCCCACTATTGAAAACCACTGCCATGAATGAATCTTAAACACTTTCTTCATCTTTGCATCACTTGCTCAGAAGTCATAATCCTTGGTTGAAACCAGGTCATATACCTGAGGTCCAGCTGACAGGTGTTAGAGATTCTGGTTCCTGCCTCCACCAAAACTCCACACAGTAGGGGATTCCCTCTAAATATGGAGAGGGTTTGATGATGTGCCCAGAACAAAAAGAACTAAAATGGGAACTTCTCTATTAAGAATATTTGACATTAGAAACTCTTTTGATGTAACTCTGGGGTCTTATCTGTAAACTCTGCATCCAAATGCTTTTGGTTTTTGGCAGAATCTTGCTTTGTGGTTGTAGAACTGGGGTTCCCATTTCCCTGCTGCATGTCAGCTTGGGGCTACCTTCAGCTCCTTGGGGCTTTTCTCATTCTTCATGGCCCCCTTTATCTTTCAAGTGACAAGGACATGTGAATTCCTTCTCATGTATTGAATGTATTTGACTTTCCCTCTGCCTTCTCCTTCTACTGGAGAAAGTACTTTGATTTTTAGAGCCCATGTGATTAGGCTCGCTTCAATAATCTCCCTGTCTTAAAGTTAACTGTGCTATATAACATAATAATCACAAGAGATATCTCATTACACTCATAGTTTCCAGAGATCAGGGTAGGACATCTTTGGGGGGATGTTTTGTAAATTCTGCCTGCCACAAAGCCTATGTAGACCTACATTTAAAAAGTATAAAATTTCCTTGAAGGATATAAAAGATAGCCGTATAGATTTTACTTTGTAAATATTGTATCATCCACCCCCGCCCCCAATCCATCCAATCTGTCAATTCAATTTAATTGCAGTTAAATTCCTAACAGAGTTGTTTATTTAATTGTCAAGCTGGTTCTAAACTTGTGCAAGTACAGAAAAATGTCTAAGAATTGGCAGAGACAGTTTTGAAAAAGAAAGATGGCTATCAAACAAATTATATTAAACTGAATTCATTAAAATCTTGGGAGTATTGGTCTTGGAATAATTCATAGGATAGAATGGGGACTCATTTAGTAGATGATAAAATTATTTCAAATCACAAGGGAAATGATGACCTTTTCAGTAAATGTTGGTGCACTTGTTTATCCATTTGGAAACAAAGTTAGGCCCTTATCCTAAGCATAAAAATAATTTCCAGATGGAATGAAGAGCTAAACATGTTAGGTGAAATTGTGCAAGCATTAGAAGTACTTGGGAGAATTTGCTTATATACTGTGGGTTGGAGAATGCCTAAATCAAATGCTAGGAAATGCAGTTGGTTAGTTAGTGTATGAAAGGGTGCTTGCTTTTATTAGTGTCAGGAAAATGTAAACTAAAACAATTCCTTTATCCTTCCCTTTTTTTTTGCTCAATTAGATTGGAAAAAATTTGCTCAATGCAAATGTTGGCAGGGGTGTGGGAAAGCATATTCTCTCACTGATTGTAATGGTCTTTTTGGCAGTGCCCACTGTAATTACAAGTATACATATTCTTCTAATGAATAATTTCACTTCCAGATTTTTACCCCAGAGAAATTACATAGGTCCATGAACACAAAGAGACATTTACTGGATAAAGCATTGGGATTATAGCAAAAAACATCCAACAATCCAGAGATCTATCATGGAAGGGTTTTTTATTTATTAGTAAATTATTTAATGGATCTTGAAAAAGGGACCAGTTAAATTTAACCAAAATATTTCAGAGAGGAAAAAAAAAAATACCTGTGGGATTTGTAACAAGAACTATCTTCTCTTAGTATATATTTTTAGACCCCATATCACTCATTTTGTAATACGTTTAACCAAAACATTTCCCTCATGTTAATAAGCTATTTTCTAAAAGCAGCACAGTATTGCATACTCAGCATATATGGATAAAAGCCTGTCATGGCAATTTCCTCAGGGAAGATGAAACTGAACAAAAGCCTTACTTTGTTACCACAATGTGTGACTTCTTGGGGATTTCTTTTACTACCCTGCTATACCAGCCAGTGATGGGGGCAAAAGCAAGGAAGAGGCTGTATCTGTCCCTGTACTTTTTTTCTTTTTTTGAGTCGGGAGTGTCACTCTGTCTCCCAGACTGGAGTACAGTGGCACACTCACGGCCACTGCAGCCTCGACCTGCTGGGCTCAGGCAATCCTTTGCTTTAGCCTTTCAAGTAGCTGGAACTACAGGTGTACACCACCATGTCCAGCTATTTTTTTGATATATTGTAGAGATGAGGTCTCACCAATTTGCCCAGGTTGGTCTTGAATCCCCGACTCAGGTAGTCCTCTCGCCTCAGCCTCCCAAAGTGCTGGGATTACAGGCTTGAGCCACCCTGCCTGGCCTGTACCTGTACTTTCAAAACAGATTATTTTCAGAGTTGATGTGGTACATAGAGTAGTGCTTGCTGATTGTTTCTTACATGTGTGAATAATTGATATTTAACATTAGATATCATCTAATAGATATCATCTAATAGAATCTTAATTTAAGGAATCTGTTACGTAGTGGGAGGGGAGAGAAGAGAGGTTAACTTTTCTTAGATAGATATCAGTGTTTAAAAATCAGCCAAAAGAAAGGTTTGTCTTATGTCTGTGATTATGAGAAAGAGATAAAATAAAGTATCTTCACAAGTGCTTTTCGGAACATTACCTTTAGCAGCTTTAAAAACTATGGGTTTGTTACTTAAGGATTGAAAATGAAAACTTTGACTGTTGTTATTTTAATTTTATGTATCTTCTGTATTAGGTGTGAGACTAATGCTATAGGTGAAAATTGCTTTTTAAAATGAAAGAAATGTGGAATTTTTAACCAGTGAATGTATTAGATACTCTTTATATAAAAGATTATTAAAAGAAGAATTTTGTCCCAAAGATAATTTATAATCCCAGAAGAAGCTTCTATTAATTTAAAACTCACTACAATTTAAAAATAATTTTCCAAAGTGCTTTTTAAGAAATATTCTTTCCTTTAAACCACATTTTAAAAATTTGTAATCGAGGCAAAGCTTAAAGAGAGAAACATGGTCTAATAAAATTGCTCCCATTGTTAGCAGAGCTAATAAAAGATGAGAACATTGATTGTGCCCCACTGAGAAAAAAGAAGACACCTTGGTAAAAAACAAAATAAGTGAAACTGTGAATTATTTTTGCAGAAGTCAACAAAAGGTTCTGTTGTCCTTGAGCACGTATTCCGTCACGTAAACCTTGTGGAGATAGATTATTTTGGGCTACGTTACTGTGACAGAAGCCATCAGACGGTGAGTACAGTGACTTCGTGTTACATTTTTCTGGTGATAAATTTCACTCATTTCTGGCCGTTCCTGATATAGTTTTAGGTGGTTAGGTGCTTTGTCACTGAAATGACTTTAAGAACCTAGAGTATGTTTTTCCTTGTTAATTTATTTGCATATTTTCCTCTTCTGCCAAAAGTCTGTAGAGTCGCAGATTCACAACTTTAGTACATGTGTAGTTCTCTTTGCTGATGGCTTACTCCCACCTCAGTCTCCCAAAGTGCTAGAATTATAGGCATGAGCCACCATGGTTGGCCAAAAATTCATTACTACATTTTTTGTTTTTTGTTTGTTTGTTTTGAGTTGGGGTCTCACTGTGTCGCCCAGACTGGAGTGCAGTAGCTGCTCCCTGCCACTGCAGCCTCCACCTGCTGGGTTCCGGCGATCCTTCTGCCTTAGCCTTCCAAGGAGCGGGAACTACAGGCATGCACTACCATGCCCGGCTAATTTTTTATTTATTGTAGAGATGAGGTCTTGCCAAGTTGCCCAGGCGAGTCTCGAACCTGCGGGCTCAGGCAATCCACTCACCTCAGCCTCCCAAAGGCGCGGGATTACAGGCTGAGCCACCGAGCCAGGCTCATTACTACGTTTTTTAACAAAGAATGTAGAGAAGAGGTCTCCCCAAGTTGCCCAGGCTGGTCTCAAACCCCTGGACTCAGGCAATTCTCTCACCTCAGCCTCCCAAAGTGCTGGGATGACAGGCACTGTATCATACCAAGTGCTTTTCATTTGTGCTGTTAGAAGGACTTTATAGGTCATTTAATGTGTGTTAAAAGGCAAGTGGCTATTCTCTTGAAGTGACAGATATTATCTTTTAATCAAGGAAATATTGAAGAGAAGAAATACATATAGCGTAAAAAAAAAAGTGCCTCTATAACTTTAAAAGTGGAATGAGCTGTGACAAAACAGAACAAGCAGAGGTTTTCATTCATGAGCTTGACAGAATAAGAGTAATAAAGGTAACCTGACCTTGGTTCTGACGTCAGTGGTTCACAAGGGTTAACTCAGAAGAGCTTCCTGCCTAGTTGAATAGTAGAGAGTTACTGAGAAATTGACTGCAGTAGACAGACTTTGGAGGTGAGGATTTTGAAGGATGAAAGGATGACATTCATTGATGTGATTTTTTTGTTTAGTCCAAGGAAGACATTAGTCTCAGATAGAAACAGCCTTATTATGCAGAATGTTCTTATATGTACCTTAAAACTACCCTGTTTGACTCGCCTTTTACTTTTCATTCTATTCAATTGCTGTTGAAATAAAGATGACGTCTTCTTCTTTCATCAGTTCTTCCAGCTTCCACTGGGTCATTTGGTGTGTAGTCAGTGAGGAACATGGTTTTCCAGGTGGTATTCCTGTGCTCTGGCTCCAGGAATGACCTAGGATGAGAAAGAGGCAAGCAGATGGAATGCTATTGATGGTCATGACTTGTGATTTTTCTTGAGCTTGTTTCTGAACCTGCTCTGTTTCACAGGAGGGTTCCACAAGGTAGGAGTACAAAATTTGCGTGTGGGATAGCTTTCCACAGAAAGGAATAACTTTCTAAAGTCATTCTTATGCACACGGCAAATAAAGGGAACAGGCATGTCCAGAAGTTCACTGTATTCTGTCCTGTAGAGGCCACAAGTAAATATAGCAGAACTGTAAACCTATACTGAAAGATTAAATTGAAGACTATAGAAGGTATCTTGTGTTGCATTCATATTTTAAAAATAACATTTTTCCTAGCAGAGAAGACTACAGTTTTCTGATTTTATCTAGCATGTCAGACCTTGGCTGGAAAGATTCACTGTCTTGCTATAGTTATATAGACCTTCTCTCTCCCTCTCTTTTTGCTTTGCAAAGAAAAGAAACTGAAAAGCTAGAAAATTTCAAAACAATGGCTACTGCTGTTGCAAAATCATTGGCAGTTAATGTTGATAGTTTATTGAAAATTTGTAGGGTTTATATTATATTTATATTATATATTATTATAATTTTTTTCTCTAATCTTTACCCCTGAGGTTTGGCATTCATGATATGGCTTGTAATACAGGTTTTAAGAGAAAATGAAATTACCATTTAGGAGAAAACTCTTAAGTCGTATTGTTTTCATGTGGTAAGAACATCGGGGTATAAATGACAAAAAAGAAAAACATGCTTTGCCTTCTGAATTTGGGTAATTTTCTTCTAGTGAACTCAGGTAACAGAGAGATGATTTGTTGGTCTTTTTTTGAGTCGGAGTCTCACTCTGTCGCCCAGACTGGAGTGCAGTGGCCACTCCTGGCCACTGCAGCCTCGACCTGCTGGGCTCCGGCGATGCTTCCGCCTCAGCCTTCCAAGTAACTGGAACTACAGGTGCGCGCTTCTATGCCTGGCTAATTTTTGATTTATTGTAGAGATGATGTCTTGCCAGGTTGCCCAGGTGAGTCTCGAACCCACGGGCTCAGGCAGTCCACTCACCTTGGCCTCCCAAAGCACGGGACTACAGCCTGAGCCACCGAGCCCGGCTCAGAGAGATGATTTGTAAACATTACTTAGTCTTTGTGTGTTCATAAATGTTGTCCAATTGCCTTTTAACTGTAGGAGCCTATGAGAATAGTGTCATAAAATTTTGTACTTTCTCTAGGAAACCATTTTACCAAAAGAATATTAGTAGAAGCAGTCCTGTACATCTGATAGTTACTTAAGGCAAATAAGAATTTAAAGAGCCAAGTGCGGTGGCTCAAGCCTGTCATCCCAGCACTTTGGGAGGCTGAGGCGAGAGAATTACCTGAGTCCAGGAGTTTAAGACCAGCCTGGGCAACTTGGTGAGACCTCTTCTCTACATTCTTTGTTAAAAAACGTAGTAATGAATTTTTGGCTAACTGTGGTGGCTCATGCCTATAATTCCAGCACTTTGGGAGACTGAGGTGGGAGTTTGAGACCAACCTGAACAACATAGCAAGACCTCATCAGCTCTACAGAAAAAATTTAAAATTGGGCAGGCATGGTGGTGTGTGCCTGTAGTTCCAGCTACTCAGGAGGCTGAGGCAGGCAGCCCAGGAAGTTGAGGTTGTGGTGAGCTGTGACTGTGCTACTTCACTCCAGTGGTCAACACGGTGAGACCCTGACTCAAAAAACTCCCCTCCCCCCCAAAACCCAGTAATGGTTTTCATGAATGTTACTTGAATTACTGTCTCTTAGATAAGATTTTGTGTATTGTTTTGCTTTTTCTGTGCGCCAAAATTTATTTTTAATGGAAATGCCAGTGTAACAATGCTCAGTATAATTAAGATCTACATAGAGAACACTTTGAAGCCCTTAAGAGGGACCACTGAGATCTACTCTGAAGGCGTGTAAACAAAAAAGTGAAGGCTGGGTGCAGTAGGTCACACCTGTAACTCCGGCACTTGGGGAGGCTGATGTGGGAGGATAGCTTGAGCCCAGAATTTACAGAATAGTCCGGGCAACATAGTGAGACCGTGTCTCTACCAAAAAATAAAAAAATTAGCTAGGTGTGGTGGTGCATACCTGTAGTCCCTGCAACTTAGGAGACCGAGGCAGAAGGTTCACCTGAGCCCAGGAGATTGAGGCTGCCATGAGCTGTGGTCACACCACTGCACTCCAGCTGGGTGACAGAGTGAGACCACAAAACAAAACAAAAAAGATAAAGTGGGAGGTCTGTGGATAAAAGGGAAGAAGGGTGACTAGGAGGGAAGAGATAGCTCATATCATTAAAAAGCCTTGGGCTTTCTCTCCTCTCCCCAGTCCCCATTAGCAATGGATCATTCCACTGGGGCCATGTTGAACTTGGCTGGAACTAGGGCAGGAGTGGACTGGGCTGCCTTTATCACTGGTAGTTAGGCAGCAGCTGTGATCAGCAAACAGGTACAGGCATCAGAGTGGCACTGAGATTGGCTAAAGGTGAAGAAGGGCCAGGAAAAGCTTTGTGCCCATCTCACAGATTAGTGTGTGTTGCATGAGAAGATAGGCAACTACCCTAGAGATCTGGAGAGCAGCATGCCTGATGAGCATGTTTCCAGGATGAATGGACCTTACATGGCAGAGAACTTGTCTGCCCTGGAGGACCACAGGAGCCTAGAAGCCAGGAACTCATCATTCACCATCATCATCACCACCACCCCCTCACTCATCATCATCATCAATGTACTAGGAATGGTAAACATTTTTCGTATGTTGTTCTTATATGCTAAGAGCAGCTCTACGAGGTAGGTATTATTTTACCATTTGAGATGAAGAAATGCAAGCTAAGAAGCACCTTTCCCAAGGTCACATAACCAGCACTTATTAGGACCAGAATTTGAACCCAAGTCTGCATGTCCCCGAGACCTCTCAACCACTATAATAGTCTGACTTACATGCATGTAATATGAAACAGTTTTGCAGACTTAGGGGACTAAAGAATTCTCCTGTGCTTGCTATTTGCGTACTTAATATTTGTTGAGAGAGGATTTAAATGGCATTTTCTAATAAGTGCACTTCAGAGATTGACCTTGTGGTAAGAGGACTTTCTTTAGGCCTTTATGTATTCATGTGTGTCCTGTTTCTGTAGTCATTCAGCAGTTAGTTAATGAATGCCTGATACGTGCAGGTCATGTGTGAGAGCATTCTCTCTCTCAGAAATTCTGGGGAAAGGAAATATACTGCCTGAAACATTACATGAAATTTTTATAAAAGCACAAATGTTGTGAGCTATATATTCCATGAAAACAAGTCTTGTAAGTTTATGTAAAACATGACATTGATTCAGGTGTTACTCGTGTGTAAAGAGTAACATCTAGACAGAAATAAACCTTGTTAAGGCAAACTTCTCTTTAAGGAGTACAGCTGACTTAAGTTGGAACACTCTGGGCACCATAATTTCTTAACTTCAGTTCTCAGTCAGTGTGTGTAAAAGAATAAATAAAAGAAATAAAAAAGTTATTTATGAGGAGGTGTTTATTGAGACTGAATTAACGCAATGAAATGAAAGCTGCATGTGTATATTC